ATTTTTTTCCCCTTACCTCTGCCCTCCCTTCACCCCCTCCTCCCCTCCCCATCTACAAACACTTTATTTTCATCTTTTCATTCTCTCACATTTTTTTCTTTTCCCTTTTTGTTCTTCCCCTACGTATCACACCTTCCCTACATCTTTAGCTCCTTTCCTCCCATTTCTAGATGTCAGTAATCTTATTAGAATCTTATGCATTGTTGCAGAATATTCACACCAGGGAAACTATTCGGTATTTACACATGTGGGACTTATTTATTTCACTTAGGAGTATATCTTCAATATGTATCCATTTTCCTATGAATGAATCTATTCTCTCGCTCTTTATGGCTGAGTAATATTCCAATCATGTAATCTTCTAAAGATGATTCTATCATGTCCTGAGTTCCATCCCCAGTACCAAAAAAAATAAAAAAATAAAAAATAAAAAAAATCTGAACTTTTAAAAGCCTCATACTTTTAGTTAATGCTCTCATCCACCAGGGGCTTTGGTTAGTATTTTCACACATATGGTGGACTTTTTATTTTCTTGGTGTGATTTTAGCTCTGTACCCTCTTCTCTTTTCTGTTCAATTTATTCAGAACTTTCCTAGCTCTTTGAAAAGACTTATGGTGGTAATTTGAGAAATAATTGCTAGAAATTGGTATTTATTTTTCTATAAATGTGTTAAAGTGTGTATTTTTATATATAAAACATTCTTGTAATTTCATTGACTTCCACTTCCGTGAGTTATTTCCTATGTTCTGTTTCCATTTAGTCCCTTTCAGTTTGGTCTAAATCCATTTTTAGAAAGTAGGTATAAAAGAGATGAGCCTTGAAAAACCAAATTACTCTTAATTATAGGAACAAAATGATTCTACTCTTAAGAAGTTAACATCATACTTGTAAGAATGGAAAATGTGTAACAGTTTTTAATAGAGCCAGTATAAATACTTCATAGTCTTAAGTGAAACTGTCAGGAAAATTGAAATATTATTATTGAGTACATTTATACAACTAATATAAACATTTGATGTAATTTTAATTAATGTTAGGCTAAATTTTTAGTATCATTTGGCAGTTTTGTCTAGTGATGGGAAATAGGAAAAGCAGGAAAAGAAAAAGGAAAGGAGAAGAAAGGTAATGGGTAAAGGGAAATGAAAGATTTATGATAGGGAATTTTAGTTTTTGGCTAATTACTGTTTATTGCAATTCTTTTAAAAAGTAATTTTCTCTGATTTTTTTACTTTTTCTGAGTCAAATATGAAAACATAAAAGCTGCTCTGAAGTTAATTTGTAACAATAGATACAAAGTGTGATCAAAATAAATTGTGGATTTAAAAAATATATATATCACAATGAAGGACCCAGTGCCATTTATCTCTCTCCAAATCTTCCGCTCACTTTGAACACACTTATCTCATCATTCTTCACTTTCTAAAGCAGTTATTGGAATCCTCTCATGAGTATCTTTCTGGGGTATGATCCTAAATATGGAGAAAAACTGCTTCCAGGTCCATCCAACAGAAAAGCAGGCTGGTAGAAATATTATGGTGTATTTCACTTGGGTCTGGAACTATGCCTCTTTTGACACTTTATCCGAAGTCAAAATGGCCATGAAAGGTGAACATTTTGAATCGATTCAGGAAATTGAGGCAGTATAAGAGGGTACCTGGACATGAAAGACGACTTCTGGAACTGCTTCCGAAAGTGGCAAGAATGATGGCATAAGTGTGTGTGAGGTGGGGGGTATTACTGGCACTGTGTTGAATAAATTTTTAAAAATTTAAAATTAATCATTTCCTAGGCATACCTCATAGCATACCTAAAAACAATTGAAAAAGCTTTTCTGAAAAGCTTACTGCATTTTCTTACTGGATAGCCTGAGTTCTTTAATTCAAAGTAACATGTTAAATAGTAGTTTTAAATTTTTTATGTAGTCTCTAATGATGAATTACAGTTAAGAGTTATAATGATTGTTCCATAGGAAAAGATAGAAGAACTGTGAGAGACACCAAATATGGATGCTATTTTGTGTGTCTTATACTTTCTTCTTACAGTGATTGCCTTTTTGATATTTGATTTGTTGCCTTGATAGCTTGAGTTGGAACATTAATTTGAAGATAATTGTTTAGATAAACTACATCAAGAAAAATAAAATATATTTATGGATATATTTGACATTGTGAATTACAAGAGCTTTTTATTCTCATATTTTTAGAAAAATTGTGCTATGAAATCATTTGGTTTGACTATCGTCAAAACTTTCTCTATTTTTAGAAAAATAACCACAGCTGATGTAAATGAAAAGAACCTCCTCAGTTGTTGCAAAAATCAGTGTCCTAAAGAGGTAAGCTATAATGGAAACTTTTTAGTTAGGTTCCTAAGGCACTTTTTCCCCTGGGATGTTCCCTTTCTTGTTTGTTCATCTTATTTTAGTTCTTTTCTAGTGAGTCTCATGAATGTGATTGATGGCTATAAAAATGTAACACGTGTTTAGGATAGATGCACATCTCCTTATGGAATTTGGGGATATTAGGACTAGGAACAACCATTTGAAGATTTTTTTTAAAAAGAAACTATTTTAAAGATAGATTTATTCAAATAATATTTTTACCTTGTGTGACCTCCCTAACATGATTTAGGCTTCAAATAGAAATAAGTGTGAGGGCCAGGGATTTAGCTCAGTGGTTCTGCTGCCTGCTTCACACTCAAATAGAAATAAGTGTGAGGGCCAGGGATTTAGCTCAGTGGTTCTGCTGCCTGCTTCACAAGCACAAGATCCTGAGTTCAATCCCCAGTACCAGAAACATACAAACAGACAAGAAATAACTGTGTGACTTACAGGCAGTTGTTGTAGAGAGTAAACACATAGTAAGTCATTACAAAGAAGTTGTGTGCATATGTATGTGTGCTTTCATGTGTATGTGTAGTGGGGAAGTGTGTGAGGAGAAACGTTCCCATCCACAGTGCTTTGAAGATGCTATCACAGAAGATACACTTCTGTACATTTTTACTGTGGCATTTGGTACTGGTGTCATTCATTATGAACATACAGCATTCATAGAGAAAGTTGTGGGTTTTTGCTTTTGTTTTGTTTTTGTTTTTTTGAGACAGAGTCTTGCTATGTAGTTCAGGTTGGCCTTGAACTCATCATGTAGCTCTGGCTGGCTTCAATCTGGTGATGATCCTTCTGCCTCCGAAGTGCTGGGCTTATAGGCATGTGTCACAATAACTGGCTTTTTAAAATATTTGGTTGCTTATACAAGCATTGAATTCCAACTAAAAGTGCCAGAAGTGGTTCAAAAAATTATTCCGAATAGTTAAAAAGTTAAAAACCATAGTAGTTCATTTTATGGGACTAGTCTGAAAGGGTGGTGCTCTTTGTTATTTGAGTAGACATTTCATAAGGAATCTTTTTTTATTACAAATGTACTAAATAGTACCTCTTTCCTTTAAGCTTTGTTTTTTTTGCACTCATCTAAGTATTTTTTGACCTAATGTGACAGATGACAATTAAGTCTTAAATACAAATCTTTGATTAAATGTACAACAATGAGTGCATGGTATGCCTTTTTGTTAATAATGCTTCCTTTTAACTAAAGATTTGGACCACTTTATTTCTTCTTAAGAATTTGAAAATTGAACCTGAGAATTTTAAGATTATGAAAGGAAAGACCATTTCAAACAAATCTCGTCAGTTATATAAATGAAAATAAAATGCACAGGACATTTCAAATTTAATTTTTTGAATTCTTCAAATCCTAAAAATTCCTCTGTTAAAATAAAGTTTCTTCTCACTCAGTTCAGATCCCAGATAAACAGCTGAGAATATTTTACTTTTAGTCTGATTCAGTAACTAGATATGGTTTTGCAGGTAGAAATACGATAATCAGTTCTTGCTTTGCAGTGTAGCATTGCCTTAGCTATGATTAAGTGGTGATGCTGCTGTGACATTTGGTGAGACTAGATGGACAGGTGCAGTTTATTTAAAAATTTATTATGTTATTACCCATTTTCATGATTTTGGATTGCAGGTCATTTTGAGCTCCCTGGTTTTGCTAGAGTATCCTTGGGCTTCCTTGAAAAATGGATCCTTAGGTTGGGATGTGATAATTGATGTGGTACTTATAGTTTGGGATGTTGTAGGAGTGCACAGGTGAATTTTATTATGTTCAGTAGAAGTCATTTTGCTTTGTGGCCTCTTGACATCAGTAAGGCTTCAGTGGTTCTCAAAGTTTAATACATACCAGAATCACTTCAAACTTTAGTACGTACCAGAATCTTGTTAAAACAGATTGCTGAGTCTTAGCCCACAGTTTCTTGCTTTGTGGTGTGGGGCCCAAGAGTTATATTCATATGTGATGTGATTCTTCTGGCCCAGGAGCACACTTTGAGAACCACTGAGCCACAGATTCAATTTGTAATAAAAGAAAGGTGTCACTGTGAATCCCTTAGTGAAACTACTAACTTTCCTATAGTGAAATTAAGGGTTTTGTAAATTATAGTGCATTAGATATTCCTTTTCTCAGTTCTTATAAATTGTTTATTGCCTCTTCCTCTCCATACTGTACTATTGTTGTGGGCAGAAATGTCATATTTCTCTTTGTTTCTACTACCTAGTTCGCTGGCTTCCTGGTTATTAAATGTTTATTGAATGTGTATGAAAAATAAAATGGAATGGTGTGACATATTTTCCTGCTTCTGATATACATTGTACTCTGTGTTTTCTAGATGATTTAAGTAGATATGAGTTTTTTAATATTATTACTATTATTTTGTGGTCGTGGGGGTTGAACCCAGAGCCTTCACACTGAACTACAATCCCTAGCCCCTTTCATTTTTAAATATTGAGGTAGGATCATGCTAAGTTGCTCAGGCTGTATTTGAACTTGTGACCCTCATGCCTCAGCCTTCCTAATTGCTTGGATTGTAGATGTGTGTGCCACCATACCCATCTAGGCTTGAATTTCAGTGAAAGTACAAAGATGCCATTAAGAAACATGCCTTGAAACTATGCCATATATGTTTCTACTTTTTTTTTAGAAGATACAAAGAGAAACCAAAGGCAACCACATAGAACACAGCTTGAATTATTTTTAAAAGCTTTAAAAATTTTTAATTGAAAAACAGTTATGATGTGTATCATGTTTTTTTTTTTGTTTTGTTTTTTGAGACAGGGTCTCACTATGTAGTTGAGACTGTCCTGGAACTCACTGTGTGTAGCCCAGGCTGGTCTAGAACTCACAGTGATCTTCCTGCCTCAGCCTCCTGAGTGCTGGGATTACAGGCGTACGCCACCATGCCTAGCTGTTTCATGTTGTTTTGAAATATGTATGAATTAGAGTAATCAAGCTAATTATCTTATGTATGACATCACTTTTTTGTCGTAAATGTACTTAAAATCTACTCTTTTAAGAACATAATACATTGATGGTAACTGTAGTCATCATGTTATACAATAAATTTCTTGAATTTATTCTTCCTTTCTTATTTGAAATTTTGTACCTTCAGCCAACATCTTCCCAACGCTGACCCTCCACCAGCCCCTGATGACTACCATTTTCTACTCTACTTTTGAGTTCAAGTTCTTAAAAATTTTACACACAAGTGACATCATGTATTATTTCTACCTTCAAAACTTATTTTTGAATTTGGTTTTATCATTCCCATGCAAGCTATGTTATTTTTTACCTGGGCAAATTACTTAGTTTCTCTGCAACTCCATTTGCTCATGTATAAAGGGGAGCAGTAATTCCCATTTCAGAGCGCTTTCTGTATTTTAGTGAGGTAACAACTTGTAAAGATCCCAGTATATTGTAGGCACAATCTGTGTGTTAGCTATGGCACACATGCTATTGTATGTATCTTTAGCTACAAGCAGTTGTTTTACACGCTATTCTTAATTTTTTGGGAAAATTTCTTGTTTGCTTCTTTATTCGCTTTCCTTTCTAGAACCATTCATTATGAGTTGCGTAGAGTGGTCAGTTTCTTCCATAGGAGATGCAGTTCAGCGAGAAAGGAAAGCACAGGAAGGTATACAGGCATATTTTGAGGGGAAGAGAGGGTAGCTAGTTATCCAATGCCTCATGTTTGGCTTCTTTATGAAATCAGGCTACAAGCACTGTGGGAACTGTAAGAGTAAAGTTAAGGAACACAAAGACTTGAAACAACCGCTCTGTACCAGGTGTTTGATAAGTGGCTAAATATTGAGCTGGTTAAGCGGTATTCAGGGCCTAGTGTTACCTGTGTAGGGAACAACAAAACTGGAGTGGTCCAGCAGTGCCTAGAGTAAAACTCACTTGCTAGCGATCCTCTGTCCTACAATAAGATAGGGAGTTTGAGTTTCTTCAAGAGAATAGAGCCAGTAGTTTGAAGACCATTGCCCTCTAGTAACTTAGAATAACTTTTAGTATAATAGTCACAAGTCTTGAACACAGTTTAATTCTGATAGCAGCTTTATGAAAATGCTGTTACCCTTCATGGTATTACATGTGAAACAGAAGAGCCAAGGGACTTGACTAAGGTCTCTAAGTTAGTAAACAGAATCTGAGATTCATTTGCAGATAGTCTGGTTTTGAAATTAATCTCAGACTGATAGTGTATTTTGAAAGTGCCTAAAAAAGAGCCGTGTTTATGTGTGATCACAGTTCAAGACAATACAAGCAGTGTCACAACAGCTTAGAAAGAGTTCTTATATAACTTATTTATGTGTAAGCAAACTCACTCTGGTAATGTCTGTAAGTGTGGGTAAGATTTGAATAGACAAAGGGAGAAGATATCTGGAAGTTTGACTGGAATAGGATGGTAGTAAATGATGGAGATAAGGACATCCTGGCAATTTCTGAGTTGTTTGTACTACCTAAACAATATGTACTAATACATAAGGTCAAGGATAAATGTTTCAGAGAAAGATGATGAGCATTTGTAACACAATCCAGTTCCTTAAGGTTGAGGAAATTTTCTTCTCATATAACAGTACAGGGGCGGTAGTTGTGTCACGGTGTTTCATATGTTACTCCTCCAGGGATCCAGCCAGCCAGGCAGCTCTGAACTTTGACACTTAGTTTTCATTACTGCTGCAGATTTCCTCATTTCCAGCACATGAAGTAACACCGTGGCAGTACCTTCAGGCACACATTCCATTTACTGGAACTTAGTCGCTTGGCTATGACTAGCTACAAAGGTGGTTGTGAGATGTGCTGTGAAATATTGCCAAAATCTAAATATTTAGTTGCTTTATTTTGGTTTTATTTTAGCTTCCTTGTGGTCATAGATGCAAAGAGATGTGTCATCCTGGTGAGTGTCCCTTTAATTGCAACCAGAAAGTTAAACTTAGATGTCCTTGTAAAAGAATAAAAAAGGTACGTATTCTAAGTAATTGAAAATACTTTTCAGTGTAAATTATTCTTTTGATTGGCTTTGTGGGTATGTTCTTTGGCTTTTTCTTTTGTCTTCTCTTTTTAATTCTTCTTATAATCTTTTTTTATATAATTAAAAAGCCTATTTTCATAAATACTTATTTTTTAAAATCAGCTTTGGCAACTTAATTTTCTTCAATTTAACAAAATTGTTTTCTGTTGGAATCAAGCTGCATGCTTGGATAGGGAATGAGTGTGCTCTAGATGTGAGGACTCTGAAGGAGCAACACATTTTGAGTGATAAAAATGGGTTTCATAATTTAAGAAATGGTCTGGAATTAAACTTTGTTGTTCTAACTCATGAAACTTTTTTTGCCAGACCTCACATGCACAGCCTTTTAAATAAAATAACATTCAAACTTGGAAAGAATTAATTTTAAGGTAAAGAAACTGAAAGGAGGAGTAAAAGATGAAGACTAATGATTGGAAGGCACAGTGGAAACAAATTATATACTATAGTTCAACAAAACTTGTGAAGGGAGAGATAGTGTTTTTTTCTTCGACTTCCCTGTTGGCACATGGCAGCCTGGACTCCTTTGAAACTGTTTTATGCTGATCTTCGATTTACCATATTTTGTATTAATACTGTTTCACGTATTAAGTATTTGATTCCACAGGTACACTAGTAACATTTTAAGAGCTCAGTTACCATGTGTACTTAATGCTACTCTTCTGTATAGTCCAGATTTGGAGCATTTCGATTATCCCAGGAAGCTGTGTTTGGTAGAACTATTCTGCAACATTTTATTCCCTAGAAGCTGGAAGAATAACGAGAAACAATAAAGGAAAATAAAGAATAAAAATAAAATGGGCCAAGTTGATAGTGGCACCTAGTAAATAATTATTAAATGGATTATTTTAATTTAATATTCACTTTTCTAGTTAAGAGAAAATAAAGGAGTAATCACTATTTGAACCAATATATTTAATGTTTATTACCACAACATCATAAACATTAATTATAAATATCTATTACCATAAGTTGTTAGATCATTTTTTTTTGATATACTGGTGAATTTGAAGGAAAGATTATTTAAAATTTGAAATTTGGATTATCTATAGGAATTGCAATGCAATAAAGTACGTGAAAATCAAGTTTCTATAGAATGTGACACAACATGCAAGGAAATGAAGCGGAAAGCATCTGAGGTAATGTCTTAAGTATCCTTTTTAATGTGGTAATGAATTTGCTCTACTTATTCTGTGTATTTATGTGCTTATTAAAAACAACTTGAAATCTTATGTTTTTGCTAGTTTTATGGGCTTATTTTGAACCCAGGGTGTGCTTTTCATTGTCCACTGTGTACCTAACTTTTCCATCCTTCATGCAGTTAGTTTGCTCTGGCCCATGGTCAGTTGTTTCAATGCTAGCATGAGTCTGGAGATTAGATGAAAAGAACACAAAGGAGGATTTAGGAGTATTTTTCATGTTATTGTTTTCCTCTATCCAGTCAATGAATAAACCCTTGATTTTGCTAAACACTAAAGATGCCCTTCTGGATGCAGCATTTGAAATGGTCAATTTCAGCTGTAGAGAATTCTAATACTTAGTACTTGATTCTGGATTGTTCATATGGTAATTTAAGGGAGAAACTAACAATTTAAAATTATTTCAGTTTACAGTGCCTTAACACTTTGAACTGTGATATGTCTGGCATAATTAAGAGGAACTACTTGAGGAGTAACACTTCCTTCACTACCACTCTCAATCTATTAGATTGTGTTTTGGTAAAACTTCTCAGTATAGTGTTACATTTGTTTATGCAATTTCCAATATGAGACTTTCAAAATTTGCAGTAGGTTAATAGAGCCTGGATATTAAAATTCTCTATAAAATTTGATAATTAAAATTTCAATTTGTTTTGAAATGCATATAAACAGATAAAAGAAGCAGAAGCCAAAGCTGCTCTTGAAGAGGAAAAACGAAGACAACAGGTAATTGAACAAAGTAATTTATGTTTCTTAATGTCTGAGGCTCTTGGCTTCATTGTCGATTTTGTGCAAACATATATGTCAAATACAAATGAGAAGCTGTTCAATTCTAATCTGAACTGAATATACATAGTTCTGTAAAACAAAAATCTATTTACTTCATTTCAGGTATTCTGAAACTCTCAGAAAGCATAGATCTTGCATATTCCAAAATATTTTCTCTCTCCAATTTACTTCTGGCCAGTTTCATTCACTTTCCAGCCATAAGAGTTTTAAGTCTTATTTTGGTGGGGAAATAGAAGAGAGGTTGTCATGTCATCATTTTAAGTCATCTTCTGGAGCCCATGTCTTCACTCACATAAAAATATATGAGGTTTCTACTGAGTTGCAATAAATACATTTGTTTCAATAATATATTCCCTATGTCCCCATTAGATCCTCAAATGTAAGACTATCGTCTGTATGACCTAGTAAAACAAGTACATTCCTGGTACCCCCGTTTGCTCAAATACTGGTTGTATACTCCAGAGAGCGCCTTCACTTCACCCATAATTAATCACTTGTTAATTTGAATTCTGAGATGCTTTATACTTATAAACTAAGTTAACCACTTTTATGAATGAGGGGACTGAAACTTGTATGACTTGGGGAAGGACATTAGAATAATTCATGTGGCAAAGATTGACCAAGATGACATCTGATGTTTTATTACTGTTTGTATTTTGGTACCAGGGATCGAACTTCAGCCCTTGTGCTTGCAAGGCAGGCGGCAAAACCACTGAGCTAAATCCCTGGCCTTGTTTTATTATTCTGTACAGTTGATTTGCCTAATATCCCCAAAATAAATTACCAAAGCAAATACAGTGGACCTTTGACTTACAAACTTGATTGGTTGCCAAGGGCTGGTTGTGACTCAAGTTAGTTGTAAGTCAGTACAGCTTAGATCTGGATGTTTACCTGGGTACATGCTATAGATAACAAGAGGCAGATGACTCTTGTTAACCTAATTAACCTAAGTTATTTGTATGTCAGGCAGGTCATAACTTGAGGGTCCATTGTATAGTAAAACCAGGGAGATTAAATTATTACAATAAGATATTTGTCCTCTAACAACATTTTGTCAACCATTATGGATGCAAATCTTAAAATATATTCCTATTTACTGACTTTCAAGAGAATGCTTAGAACGTAGTGTTTACTTGTAGACTGTGGGTCATCATTTATTTTACCATCGGTGGTCCTCAAGTTTGGCTGCTTTTAAGCTATTTTGACTTTTCCCTATATAACAATCACTTGGGAATAGTTTGTTTTTTTGCTCATGAAAGAATGCAACTTTGTATTAAATGAAGTATATTGTTAGGTCTTTTCATTTGTGGTTTATGGTTAATGAGTATGTTAACTGAAGTTTACATTTCTATTATATAAACAGTTACAGATTTAAATTTAAATATGTATATTATTGTGAACTTGTTTTAGGAACTATGCACTATAGTGTGTCATTATACATTATTATTGTAAATAGAAATTTAATAAGTACTTAGCAGTAGAATAAAAATCCACATTTGATAATGACTAAAACCCAGTCATCCTTTTTTAAAACTTGTTTTTAGTTTTTTAGTTTTTGCATTAAAGCTTAAAACATCTTTTTTATTCCTTGAATTTTTACTGTATTTTTAAAAAATGATAAAGAGAAAAATTAAGGTTTTTTTCTCATTATTCATTTGAATTTCTTCACTAAAACCACTAGTGTTTATTTCTTGAATTGCAAAAACTAATTGTAAGTATCTTTTCTCACTGGCCATCTCTTAGCATTTCCAAGGAGCTGATAATAAATATGATTGTGATGAAGTATAAAACTGATAGTATCTATATTTTATAGGTCTCCAGTTTAATCGACTGTTTTAATATTTATTTTTAAAGTTAGCATGTATTCTGAAATAATTTCTGCTGTTGCTCCCCAGATCCCTTTCTGCTTCTCTAAATTCTGAATCTGTTGAATACAGTCAGTAGTGGAGGGAGGTGTTACTATCAGATTAACATATTTATACCATTACTATTCAGATATTTCCAAATTGATTTATTTTTACTTAGATGGAAAGTTTCAAATAAATGTATACATTAAGTTTAATAAAAATTAAACTCTTTTGATTTAGGCTGAACTGGAGGCTTTTGAAAACAGACTGAAGGGTCGTCGGAAGAAGAACAGAAAAAGAGATGAAGTGGCAATTGAGCTATCGTTTTGGCAAAAATACAAATATTATTGTCTTCCAGCATGTGGAGTTGCAGTGGTAGTGTTTGCATGGTACATCACCCTTGTTATGGATTAAATACAATGTTCATCTTTTTTTTTTTTTTTTTGGTACCGGGGATTGAACTCAGGTCCTTGCGCTTTGCAAGGCAGGCCACCGAACCACTGAGCTAAATCCCTGGCCCCACAATGTTCATCTTTAATATACCTCAGATTGAATTTAGATAAATTGTTTAGGATATTAAACGAGGCATATTGTAGAACATGACACAGTTCACATTCATATCTTATATTCTCCAGCTGTTGGTAGAAGGGCAGAATGTTAAGCTTTATCTTTATTAATATTCTAGAAAGGGCAGTAGAACACTGTTTAAATCAAAAGCATGACTGAAATTGTGAAGTATTTCATAAGGCTTACCTAGTGGCAGAGTTACATGTTTGTCATTCATTGTGCTTTTCTTTGTAGTAACTTAGTTGTTTCATTTACTATTTCAGATCAGTATTTAAAATTTTTTAAAATTCAGATGAAACTGAGCCATATGTGCAGAAAGAGGAATATTTCTCAATGTTTCAGTTACTTAGTACTTTTCTTGATCTTGTAACTTTGTACATTTTTAAAAAAGAGATTCTCTAAAAGATCTTTTAAATTGTAACATGAAGCTTTAGTTAGGGAGAAATAAATTTTACATAATGTGTTACTCAGAAAAGATAGTTGTTTCCGCAAATGCCAGGCTAGGTTTTTCACATATGGCTGTTTCCTGTGCAAGGTATCTTTCAACTGAAGTTTTGTAAAACTTGTATGTATCTTTTAAAGATAATAATAAAAGAAAAACTAATATTTATGGCTAATATGTGCTGAGCACAGGGTTTACGTATGGAATTGATTCTCATTTCTTTATCACAATTTTAGGTAGAGTATATAGCTAGAAATCTTATGAAAACAAATCAATATCAGCCAATTTTGTTGAAATTGTATGTCATTTGAAGTAGTTTTGCTATTTAATTTTTGTATGATTAATATTTTCATTAAAACTTTTCATACCAAATTTCTAATGTAGCATATTTGTTATTTAAAAAACCTAGGAGCCTATACTTTTAGGTTAGACATTAGTATCCGTATATAAAATTTTAGTATGTACTTGATGTTGAATTCAGTAACTGAAGCTAAAAAGTATCCAGTTGAAAAGTGGTGGAAGTATATTTTTAAACAGGAATTTAAAGGAAGATTGTAAAAAAAATTGGGTTTAACTGGAAAAATTTTAATGTCATTCTTTTTAATCAAATGTTGGCATGTGTGCAGAAAGGGCATTTATTCATTTATTATGTTTTAATATGAGGTTCTTTTTGGTTATGTTTTATACTTAATAGTGGTGTTACTGAGTTGGTATGTTAGAAGCTCTAAATCAGATCCACATACTCAAGATAGGACCTGCTCTAAGGATTTGTGTGGGAATCCATTTTCATGCATATCAAGATTTTGGCTGATTGAACAACAGCCTGAAGCCCAATTTATGCCAGTTGTTTGTTGGACTTCCATTCATGTTAAGTTCCACCCCCACCATGGGGAAGAATTTAGTGAGCAGAGGAAGAAAATTAAATGAATTATAAATTGAACTGTTTGTTGTTTTTTTCTTTGGCCAGCTCAGAGCTTAATTTATTCAAAGACATAGCTATTCATTGAGTTATCAGATATTTTTCCTTTATGATAAGAACTTTCTAGATACTGCAGATAATGGTGAACCCATGAGGTTGCTGCTAAGAAATTTACCAGATTAGCTGACAGTATCTTCCCACAAGTCAAATATAGAGTGCAAGAGATCTGTCCATGAGCTCTAGAGATCCAAAGAATCCAGCTGAAAGTCTGGAGCCCATGGCAGGAGTCTCATGCAAGTCTATATCAGGAGGCTGAGGAATCTGTGGTGGAAGACTGAAGGCTCTGTGCCGGGCAGTGGAAGGGCTGGTGCTGGTGGTTAGAGAGTTTGTGCCAGCAGGCCAAAAGGCCAGTACTGGAAACTGAAGAATCTGCACCGAAAGGTGAGAGATGACACCCAAACAAAGGCAAAGACAAGAGCTCCTCCGAAGTAAAGCAGCTGGAACGAAGCTCTTCCAAGGAAAATCAACTGAAACCCTTCCTCCCATTCTCCTTTTATACTGTTCAGACAACAAGCCTCCTTAAATGGTCTTCCCTGCCCAGAACCATGCAGACTCAATGCAGCTGGGTGTTCTCATGCATGCTGACAACCATCTCAGGTACAGAAAGTAACAGAAGCAGGGACACTAGCTAATTTGGTCTGAGATTGGAGCATTTGAGCTGTGACCTGAATGCTTCCATTTCAAGTTCTGAGGGAAAAATCTCTGAGAGAAAACCTTAAGTACCAAGTCTGTTAGTTGGGAGATGTTTGGCATGGCTGAGGACCAGATGGAAGGACTGGTGTGAAATTTGCATTTTTGCATTGAGGCTTGTTCCTAGTTGCAGTGGTCAGAACTTGAAGGTTTTAAGATGGCTGAAGTTTCTAAGACTCGGGACTAGGGAGGGTAAAAGTAGGGAGGGCAAAAGCAGGACGATGTGTGTGTGTGTGGGATGAGTCAGGGGACACTCCAGGCTGAAGTTGTAGCGCTGTGATTCAGGATGGGTGACTTCTGTTCTCATGGCTTCCCGGTTGCCCTGGATGAATGACGTGAAAGTGCTGAGGAAGCTGCATAATGAGCTGAAGTGGAATGAATGGAACAGGAGTGAGGATAGATACTTCTCAGGAGAAATACAAATGGCCAATACATGCATGCAAAACTGTTGAACACTGTTGGCCATTATTGAAATACAAATTAAAACAACAGTGAGCTTCCATCTCCTAAAAGAATGGCCATCATCAAGTACTAACCAGTAATGGGCAAGGCTGTGGGGGAAACGGAATCCTTCTGCATTGTTGATGGGAATATAAACTAGTACAACCAGTATGGAAATCAGTATGGAGATGCCTCTGAAAACTAAAAATAGAAATTCTTTTCAACCAGTTATTCCCCTTCCAGGTATCTTCCTGAAGAAGTTGAAGTCATCATATTGCATGTTACAATGATACAGGCAAACCGATGTTTATAGCACACAATTTCTAATAGCTAGCTTTTGGAAATGGCCTTTATGTCCATCCACAGATATGTGGATAAACAATATATATTTATATATAATGGGGTACAACTCTGCTGTAAAGGATAAATGAATGCACCTTGAGACCATAATAAGTGAAGTAAATTAGACACACGAGCTTAGATATCACATGGTTTCTCTAGATGAGGAACCCCAAATATAAAGAGCAAAACAAAAGATAATAGGAAGTAGGGGAGTTTTTTCAAGTGGGAAGAAGAACAAGAGCCGGAGATAGGGCAGAGGGAGAGGAGGGAAAAGGAATGAACAATAAAAAAAGACAAAAATGGAAGTAGAGCTCTGTCAAATGGGAAGAGGACCAGGAGTTGGAAGGAAGAAAGGGGACAAAAAAACTTAAGATGTGCATGTGCATTGCTCACGATACCATAAACATGGACTAATAAATTTAAAAAAGGTTGAGTGAGGCTAAATGTCTAAATACTTATCTAATTGGCCTTGAGAGAAAGTAGTGTAAATTGTCCTTTGTGCTCTAGTTTGAGCTAAAGAAGAAATTGAAAGTTAATAGCAAGAATGGCATGGATACAATTGTGAACATGATGGTCTTTGTGTCCTATTCACCTGTGACCTGAATGCAGCGTAACATACTATGTTACACCTCACACAATGTAAAAATAGTTTTAGTTTACTATTTGAAATTTATGGATTTATATTGAAATCTAAGATTTTTCACTTTAAACATTTAGATCTGAACACTTTATGTTTTTACTTCAGTTTCACTATTAACACCTGAATTAAATTTAAACAATATTAAATAGATATAGTTGTTACTGAAATTGCCAAAGGAACTTTACTGAGACACAACTTCATTGAACTTGCTTTTTGTAAAGAAGTCTGTTGGGCTACAAATGTTGGAAATCTTAAATGTAGATGTATTTCTGTTAGTATTTAAAGGTGATTTATAATTTTTTTTTTGAGAAAAGGTCTCACTATATAGTTTAGGCTGGTCTTGAACTCACTGTGTAGCCCATGTTGGCCTTGAAATGGTGGCAAATCCTCCTGCCTCAGCCTCCTGAATACTGGGATTGCAGGTGTGCATCATCATGGCTGGCGACCTGTAGAAATTTTAAAGACACAATATGGAGAGATTTAAAGTGTTCCTTTTTCCTTTTAAGGAATTTTTGTATTTTCTTCAATGCCTGGTACAATAGAAGCTTCTGCTGTCACACTGTAATCTATTTTGTGGGTCTCTCCAGCTATGCAGGTAACTAAGGTCTAAGCCAGGTTAAGGCAGCAGTAGGAAAGAAGAGTCACACATCGCAGGGTCAGCTCATTGCCAAGGGTGACTTCTGAGCTTCAGCCCTCAGAGGAAAACAGCCAGAAGTCTCATGGTGCCAGGTCTGGTGAATAAGGTGGAAGAGGACACATCATAATGTTTTTATTTGCCAGGAATTGCCATAAAATGTTTCCTCAACAAGAGGTGATCAAAAACATGATGAATGTTTATAATTTATTACAGTAAAAGACATTGCCATTTATCTGCTTCAACTATTCAAAATACCCCTTTTGAACACACTTATCCCATTGTTCTTGGCATTGTCTTTTACTGGAGTATGTTTTTGTCATTAAACATTTATTGCATCTTTTGATCCCTCCTTGCAACTAGTTGGATATATGCTTGAAATGCTAGATAATAAAAGTTCCAAAGACCTGGAAATGTTTCTTTTTCAAAATTATTTTTAAAAACTAGATGATTGTTACTTTAAATTGAAATAGGCCATTAAAGATTGCCATGAACACATTGTGTATTCAAATTAGTTTGAATATGTTTTGAGATTTTTAATAGTTTTGACTCCTTACCTTATAAAAGTTCATTACAAAGAATCCCAAAGGGCACATTTACCTTCACTTTTTATATCATCACCCTCGGGGTGTGAATACCTACCTCAAGTGTTCATTCTGGTGCTCTTGGTAACTAAAGCTGGTTGGTTTCTCTTGACAAAAGGAAGCTTAGGGAATACTTTGCACTTTCAGTGCAATCAGCTTTAGTTCTCAGAACACTGTGTAGCAATAGAAGAGAGGGGGAGACTGAATCACCCTGGCTATTTCAAATCCCCCAATTTAATTACTTTAATTGCAAAGTTCCTGTAGCCACCTCCACTAGAGGGCAGAAAGTGGAAAAGAAAGGAAATGAATAGAAACTCACATGGTTTCAGAGTGCCTGGAAGCCTTGGTGATTGAATCCAGTTGATGCTCATTTCATAGACTGAGTTAACTGGCTGAGAACGATGATGTCTTCTCTTGCCCATAGTGGAGCTGGCAGATGAATCTCCTGGGCTCTTGATTCTCATTTGGGGTGCCCTGGGGTCATGGTAGTGATGAGGTAGTATCTTAGCAAGAACACAATCCTGAAATCACGCTGTCTCCGGGAATCCCAGGGCAGCTACTTGCTATCTCTACATATAGGAGATAACTGCTTACTTCAACTCTAAATCTGTTTCCTAATCTCCAACGTAAAGATTATGACTCATCTACCTCCGTGGTTGGTACAAAGTAAAAGAAAGTGCATGTAAAATATACTGCATGTAATGAACTTAATTGTTTGAATTATTATAAACTTGTCAGATACTGCATTCTGAGTCTCGTGTGTGTAACATGGAATCAGTTTACAAACCATTTAGGGACACAACATTTTCCACATTGTATCATTTCAGAAACAAAATTCCAATTTCCTCCCCATTTCACAAATGTATGACTTAACAGGTGGGTGCTTTATACATATTTTGTTGACTAAATGTGTCTCCTCTCAATAAGCAAGATGGATTTTTTTCTATAACCTCATGAATAATTTTTGAAGTTTCCTTTAAGATCTTGACTGAAATTGGATTTAAAACAATCATTTCTAAGAAAAATTCAGCGAACTCCTTTTTCCCCCAAACATTTAACAGTTGCCTGAAACATCAAGTGGTAAAGTTACCTCTGCAGTCTGAGAACCTCAGTGTTCTCGTGGTGCTGCCTTAGGAAAAAACACTGCATGTGAATGACAGGCAGCGTTTCCTGCCTCCTCCGTTCAGGAAACCCCAAAGGAGGTCTGTGGTCTCAGGCTAGGGTACTACTACCCTGTGCCTGAATCCTGGGCAAAGACTCAGGAAGTCTTGCAAATGCAGTTTCTTTACAAAACCTGTAACAGAAGGTAAATTTCCATTTGCCTAGTGCAAATAATACTTGCCTTCAAAACGTATCTTTTTTTTTTTAAATAGCAAACGTGGTATTTAATTGTCAGTGCCTGCAGTTATTTTGATTTTTGCTTGGCTACACTGGCGAAAAGGAAATGGTAGGATACGATAAGCAGAATTTGGAAACTTTTCTCCCCACCCTTCTCTTCCACGGTCCAAACTTAACTGTCCCGTCCTTTTCTGTTGCCCTTGAAGTGTAGGATTTTTGGGGGAGCTCGGCAGACCCTTGGCTTTGTTTGCCTCTGAAGAGAAACTTCCTTGAATGCAAAACGGAGGCGGGGGTACGGAGGATCTGTCATCAAGGACTGTTATGGGTAGGGCCCGAGATGTGAGGGAAGAGAGGGAGTGGTCCGCGGGTGGGATCTGTCTAACAGACAAATTATGAAGCTCCCGTTCCCTGAAGTACAACTTGTCTCTTGCTGACTGAAGACCGAAGGGAAAGGTATCCGAGGTGCCTCTCCCAGGGACAGGTAGAGGAGAGAAAAGAGACCAAGATCGGCGTGGACAGAGGATTAAGTAGGCATGTTCGCGAAACGGTGCTCTGCCCTTGCTCCGGAAGAGCGCTACCGCCGAGCCCGGGCCCCGAGGCGGGTAAGAGCCACAATCGGCACCCCTGCCGCGGACAGGTCGCGCACCCACCGGTCCTGGCGAATTGAGGGCCAACCCTTCCCGCCCCCGT